TGGACTCTAAAACAACAACCAAAAAAAAAAAAAAAAACACCCACAAAAGAAAAACCCCAGCACAGACTTCACATGCAGTGATTGACAGCCTGCCCACAGCGGGGCTGTGAATTGTTTCCTAGCTATCCAGCTGACTCTCCTCCTAGTTGGCCTTCTTGAACTGATCTGAGAGCACCATTAGGCAAAAAGAACTTCAGGGTCTTTAGCCCTGACTTTTCAAAATCAGACATTAAAACACAATGGCCTTCTTAAATTGAATTTTAAATGATTGCCTTAGCAAAGTTATTTTTCATTAAGACCATTTCTTTCACAATCATCTGTCTATGCCCCACATTTACCTAAGTACTTAGATGTTCTTGAATAAATTCAGCTCACTAACCAAGGCTGTCGAGTTGCCCTGAGAATGTTTTGTTCAGTCTACCATAAATGTGAGACACAATGGTGAGTTACAAGTTTTCAAGTAGACAGATCTCTGCTAAGGTGTAAATGGGCTGCAGGGACACTTTGAACGCAATGAGGTTAGTGGGATCTAGTGTTTGCACAGCACTAATCATCGCAACAGAAAAACATCTGCTCTCTTCTAAATAATCTAAAATGCCTTTTATTATGAGATACACAATTATTTTATGTGTCCCTGAGAAAGAAAATTAATACTGATAATTGAACTAAGACTCAGTGCCTTATGGTGATTCCGTCCAACACACAACTCTGCAATAGCCTTGTACGGCTTTGTTTCTTTCAATTAGAAGATTTCATCAATTTCTCCTGAGTGTTGAGCTCCTCAGCATGTAATAGGTGATTTTCTTCATGCAGCACAGTAACAAAGCATAATACAACTTCATGTAGTTATAGATATCTTCCTTTCTTTAGTTCCATAATGCCCAGGGTTGCTGTTTTTAGAGAAAGTGTGTAATTATATCTCTTCTCCAGTGAAGGTACTTGCTTCACAAATATCAAATTATCCTCTTTCTCCCCCATTTGTACCTTTCTAGGTACCAAATAAGTGTTCATGTTAATCCCAAAATATAGTATAATCCTTTTTAACAAAGCTTAAGTGCTAATTATTCTCACTATGTATAGTTATAACAATGCAAGTGGACTCAATTGACAATATGAATAGCTATGACCAAGTATGCGTGCACAGGTGATGACAGTCATGTCACAGCAATTATGAGGCACCACTGATTGTAATATTTATTACCAGTTCAGAGATGGCAAAAGGAGGGAAATTGTGTGTGTCTTAAAATCAGTGAAATATGATATAAGCAAGGCATTGTGGGAAGAGTGCACAATCAATAAAACATAGATAGGTATTGAGTTAATATTTTTCTTTGCTTAGGAATAAATCTCCCATTCATTTTCATTTCCATAGATATGAGATGATATTGTGTTCATTTACCAAGAAAGACCTCAGATTCTGTCAGGATGTGGCAGTATAAATAAAGTCACTTCAGGAATCTGACTTTTTTGGTCATGATACTTGTCAGGGATTGACATCACTGACTTATGCTGCTGCAATTCCTCATGTGTCTCCTGCTTTAAAATCACTGTGCACGTAATGAAAGTATCAAAACCACCCTTACGGAATGGAGGTACAGGCTGTGTGTGATTGGAATACTCCAAGCAAGGCAACTGCAAAACCTACGTGGTACCTCATTACAGCCAGGAGGATAGGATTGCTGCTGTCAGAGTTGACAGGCTGTCTGTATCAGGACAGCCCTGAGTAGCTTTCCCAGAGGGATCTCAGTCCCTTTCAGACCAGAATATAAAGACCTGCAGCCTGACCTTTCTAGAAGCCCAGCCACTTGCTCATCATCAAACCCAGTTGCTTTTTCCACTTCTTCCTGACATGCCCTGGCTCTGATTCCAGACTAGATATCATCTGATTCTTTGCAAACTCCAAATGTGTTCTCACCTGAGGACCATTATTGTTGCTGTTTTCTCTGAACACTTTATGTACATCTTTCTCCTTCTGCATCATCTCAGCTCAAAGGTCACCTCCTAGGATCAGTGCCTTCTTTGACCATTCAAACTAATTTCTCCCCGTCCTCCATCAGTTTCCTTTGCATTATCCAGAATGTTTCTTTGTTTGTCTGCCTGTCTATCTGTTTGTTTTTATAGCCCTGAATCATTTTTCTATTTGCTATTGGCTCATTTCTATTACTGGAACATATGTTCACCTCTGCATCCCCAATACCGGGAACACATAGAAGATGCTCAATAAACATTTGATTGATGTATGAATGAGTAAACTCAACTTGATTCCTATCTCATCAGTAGGTTTTTTTAGTATTTATTATCTTGTTCTCCATGTCCACTCCTTCCAAGTTTCATCAACAAGAACTCACACTTACATGACTCCATGAATCCTTAGATTACATTGTCTAATTCTTTCCTGAAAGCTGACCCACAGGTGTAGACTCCAGATCTACTCTGGTCTCTGCCCCAATCTTATTTTCAGGGCCTTCCTGACAAACATCTTCTCTCTTCCTGTTGCTGCTGTGTGTGAGTGCACAACTCTGGTGAACTGTTTGTTACTGAGGTGTCTGTGAATGTCTAAATGGACAGCAACAGCATTGGTGTCTAACAGGAGTTGACACAGCAGTTGCGAATGGACTCAGCACCCCAAGGGTCTTCCCAAGTAACTGGAACCTGGGAGAATTTCCATCCTTAGCACTTTCCTAGGGCATTCACAACTTTATGCTGAAGTTTTTCCTACTAATAAGAATCAATACCAGTACTGATTTTTTAAAGTTTATATTGATTTCTACTCTGTGGAAGGAGAATCTAAGGTACATTAAAAGGTCCTGACTTTGTAGAGGCTATAGCTGATGAAAGTGAAGGATAGGAATCTTTTCTTGGTCTAATCATTATTAGCCATCTATGTATGTGCAGGGGAGTTAAAGCAGTAATGATACAAGTTACTTTAGTAATAGATTTGAGTTTTGTCCAGTGGTCAGGAAGTACATTCTCTACAGACATTTGGCCCCTTGACCCTGGAGTTTAAATGGCACATTACATTTAAAATATCATACTTTATGACTCCTTAAGCGCCTTTCCCTCTCTCTTCCGAAACCACACTGAGATACCACCTCATGCCAGTCAGAGTGGCTAAAATGAACAAACCAGGAGACTCTAGATGCTGGTGAGGATGTGGAGAAATGGGCACCCTCCTACACTGTTGGTGGGAATGTAAACTGGTTCAGCCCCTCTGGAAAACAGTGTGGAGGTTCCTCAAAAAATTATCAATAGAACTACCCTATGACCCAGCAGTAGCACTGCTATGAATTTACCCAAGGGATACAGGAGTGCTGATGGATAGAGGCACATGTACCCCAGTGTTCATAGCAGCACTCTCAACAATAACCAAATCATGGAAACAATCTAAATGCCCATCAACGGACGAATGTATCAAGAAGATGTGGTTTATCTATACAATGGAATACTATATGGCAATGAGAAAGAATGAAATCTGGCCATGTGTAGCAACATGGATGGAACTTGAGGGTTTTATGCTGAGCGAAATAAGTCAGGCAGAGAAGGACAAATATCATATGTTTGCACATATAGGAGGATTAGGAGGAACTTAACGGAAGACCATGGGGGAGAAGAAGGGGGGAAAATAGTTGGAGAAAGGGAGGGAGGCAAACCATGAGAGACTCTTGAATGCTGAGAACAAACTGAGGGCTGATGGAGGTGGGAGAGAGGGGAAGGGGAATGATGGGCATGGAGGAGGGCACTTATGGGGATGAGCACTGGGTGTATATGGAAACCAACTTGACAATAAACTATTTAAGAAAATAAAGAAACATCACATGAATTAAAAAATAAATAAAATAGGGGCACCTGGGTGGCTTAGTCGGTTAAGCGACCGACTTTCGCTTAGGTCATGATCTCGCCGTTCATGGGTTCGAGCCCCGCGTCGGGCTCTGTGCTGACTGCCAGCTCAGAGCCTGGAGCCTGTTTCAGTCTGTGACTCCCTCTCTCTCTGACCCTCCCCTGCTCACGCTATCTCTCTGTCTCTCTCTCTCTCTCTCCTAGAAATAAATAAAACATTAAAATTTTTTTTAAATAAATAAATAAATAAATAAAATATCATACACTATGACTACTTAACTATAAACCTGCAAATAAGAAACATGTCTCATATATCCTTATATTTTCCACAAAGACTTATGCATTAGAAAGTGCATAATGATTACTTGATTGAATAAATGAATGGTGTTGAAGAAGGCAACCATTAACAAGAATCTAGGTCAGTTTTTAATCTTCCCTATGCATGAGAATCACTTTGGGGCTTTTAAAAACTGTGGATGTCAAGGCTCATCCCCTGATATTTATATTCAACTAGTTGAAGGGGGACCTACATATATATTTTCTAAAGGTCCCTGGCTGATTATAATGTATAAGCAAGGTTAAAAACCACAGATCTGGGTAGAAAGCAACCTGTGCCCTAAAAATAATAAATGATAATCCAGTCTATGTTAAAGATTGTGGTTAAAAAATCACAAGAAATGTTTTGCCCGGGTGATATTAAATCTGGCAAATATTTTACTGCCATGATACACTTACCTATCTTAGGCCATCTATTTTGTACTTTAACATAAGAAATAAAGTGTAGAATGTAATAATGAATATAATTCTTTACTTTAAAATATGAAATTGTCCTGAGTCCTCAGTCTCATAAAATGTGAAATCTTATACATATTTCAAGAAACAACCTTAAATTCTAATCCAAGATTTAAATCATAAAGATTTCTTCAAATGGGTTGGAAAAATTCAAAGCTAAAGAGATCCAACAAAGAAAAGCAAGGCAAAAGAATAATATTTCTAGAGCAGGAAGGACGATAATTGTAGTAGGTTGAATTGTGACCCCCCAAAAGACATGTCCACCCAGAACCTGCAAATTTGGAAAAAGAGTCTTTGGGGATGTAATGAAGGTAAAGACAATCCTGGATTATCTGAGTGAGTTCTAATCAAATAAATTTCCTTATAAGAAGAAGACACAGACAAAAGAGAAGACACAGAGGAGAAAACCATGTGAATATGAGGTAGAGATGCTGCCACAAGCCAAGAAATGCCCGGAGCTGGAAGAAGAAAAAAACAATTCTCCCCCCTGAAGACTTCCAAGGGAGAATGGCTCTGCTGAGACCTTGATTTCAGACCTCTGGCCTCCAGAACTGTGAGATAATAAACATCTGTTTTAAGCCACCCACTTTGTGGTAATTTGTAGTAATTTCCTAAGCAGCCTTAGGAAATGAATTCAATAATGTTCTTGAAGTAGTAGCTATGGTATCTGTTTTAAATATTATGACCCAGAATTTGTTAAAGGAAGTACAAGTAGCAATAGAGCATATGTTAAATGGAGACTGTCCTCAGTCACCTGTAAATAACGATCCTGATGACAGATGGTACATGACCTCTTCCCCTTCACCATATTGCTGGGTCAAAGTAGAAAATATAGGCCTTATAAGAATTGGAGCCAGATGCAGAGAGGGGCATACCTGATTGTGGGCATAAAGATAAATATTTGAGATTAATTTTGGTAGCTATATTTCTGCTTTTCATAGGTAACCAAGCTCAGTTTCATTATTATAGTAATGCTCTTATTTGTGGCTTGAATCAGTCAGGAATGTTTTCAGCTTCAAGTAACTGAAAGCTGAGCCATAGTGGTTTCAATAATTCTGACATGTATTGCAATGATCAGTAAGAGGCACTTGCCAAGTCCTTTCTGTCTTTTTGCTCTGCTTTCCTTAGTGTGATGGTGCTATGTCCCCCACGCTTTCCTGGTTTTTCACCTCATGTTGCAAGGTGGCGACAGCAGCTCCAGGCATTACACCTGCACACACAGATGGGGGAAGAGGAAAGGGAGCAATGATAGACATATGTGTTCCCTTCTATCAGGAAATCAAATGCTTTTCCAGAAACTTTACAGCAGAGTCAGGTTTACACCTCAATGGCCAGACTGTGCCTGTGTCAGTGCCCAACTTTAAGGAGGCTAAGAAAGTATGTCCAGGCTCTGTAAGGGAAAGCAGGTAAGGGAGAGAAAATTGAAATGAATTTTGCCCAGTATCTGCCATGGAGCTTAAGAATCCACTCTCAGAAAACTGTGGGTACTCTAGAAAAGTCTAATCCTACTTGTCAATAATATGGATTGAGCAAAAAATCCTCAAACCCTGAATTTTTGAGTAAATGATATAGAACTAAAGAAGAAAAACAAATCTCTCTAATTATTTTGACTTGGAATATCTAGAAGGTATGAAATGATTTCCAAACTTTCCCTATAACCTCATCAAACTTTAATAAATATCCCAATCTTTTATGCATGTAGAGACTATTAGGCATTTTAGATTAAGAACACCAGAAAAAGAGAAATCTTGAAATTCCTTTTGAAAGTCAGGACAGAAGAGAAATGAAAAAACAAAGAAGGAGGGGTACCTTGGTGGCTCAGTCAGTTAAGCGTCTGACTTTGGCTCAGGCCATGATCTCACCGTTCCTGGGTTCAAGCCCCGCATCGGGCTCTGTGCTGACAGTTCAGAGCCTGGAGCCTGCTTCAGATTCTGTGTCTCCCACTCTCTCTGCCCCTCCCCCCCCAAAAAATAAATAAACCTTAATTTTTTTTTTGAAAAAACAAAGAAGGAATACTTTAATTATTTGTGGCTGATTTTGTGCCACTTTGGTCCTACTAATTTTGCTCTCTCCTTGACCCTTCTTGCAAACATATGAATGATCTAGGATAGAGGGATACAGATAGAAACAAGCCAGAAATCTGGAGAGAGATGTTTATCTCGGTTACATCGTGGCCTCAAAATGACCCTTCTTTGCAAGTTTGTGAGTCAGTGAGAGTTAGCAGAGGACAGAGTCTGATCAGTCTACTTCATAGTCTTTTACCATCAAGCACTAAGCTAAGTCCTGGAGAGACACCAGTAAGACTTACTCCAAAGGTCTTCCCTTTGAAGAGCTCACATTGTGGAGAGGTGAAAAAGTCCAACACTGTGTGAAAAGTGCCATGTTCAAGATCTGCATATGAACACATGTAATATGGACCTTGAAACAAGCCTAGGGCAGGACAAGGGTTAGAAATGTTTTCCTGGATGAGGCTTACAGGACTTGAAGGCAGAAAGGAAGATTGTGCTCAGTTGGGAGGAAGCTATAGCTAGGCTGAATGCTGCAATAGGAATTTAATTCCTTCCTCAGAAGGAGCTGGGAGAAGATGCCAGGGTAGAGAGAGGAGAAAAGGAAGGCAGTGGGCTGTTGACCTGATGCGCTAGAAGAACCCAGAAGCGGAGCATCAGAAACAACATGCAAAAGCACCAGCTGCCTCGCCAGCACCATGGCCAGAGCAACATGAGACAACACAAAGTTGCACCAGCTTCTCTCGGACCCTGCCCTGGGCAACGACAGAGGAAGCAGTGGAGCTGAGAAGGCTGCCTGCATGGTGACTGTAGTCATAGACATGACATGGTGTCTTTGGAGTATTCCCAGGCTGACAACCATGGTCACCCAACCTCACCAAACAGAAGCAAGCTAGTCATCATGAGACCCAGAGAAAAGCCCCTCCATTTGAGCATGAGGGAAGAAAACATAAGAACTGAAACAACTTTCAGTTACTTCACTGTTCCCTGAAGCAGGAAGTCAGGATAGATTCCCGTTACTTTCCAGAAACATTTTAATAGTGCTTTATATTGGCAAAGCTTTCACACATCTCAGACGGCTATTTCCTCAGAACTGTCCAGTGAGATAGGTATTATCATTTCTATTTTATTTCAGAGGAAAGGGGAGGTACAAGGGGACACCAAGGGGCATTCACACATTTAGAAGCTGGTAGAGCCAGAATCAAGTCATGTCTATCTGCATCCAAGTCTCTTTCCAGAAAGCCTCAGCATCCCTATAGTTAATCTTCTCTTCAACTTAACTACATCACGTTTAAAGTTGCCTTCTTCAGAACTTCTGTTAGACATAAGTACACCTCACGTTTCTGGGTTTCTTGCCAAAGATTCAAAGAATATCCTTCTTGCGTCTTGCTAGTTTTCTGTTGAAAAGCCTTCCGCTGCTCCATGGTTTCTTACTCTACCTGCTGTAGAATAATTGCCTTCCCCACCACTTACCCTGGCATGTACTTCTCTGTGGATTGTGTTGTTGAAGGAGTGCATGGGGAGAAAGGAAACTGGTTCCAAACCATGAGCAATTTACCTTCCTGCCTAGGTAACCAGTCCTGGCCACTTGCTCTACATGATCACCGCCCCCTCTTCTCCCCTGGGATCAAGTGGGTGGTAATACCCTTCCCCAGTGGAAACGAAGTTGAGTGCTTTATTTAATACACAGCCTGTGGCTCAAGATGGGAGCAAATGAAAAGAAAAGGTAGTTTTATTGGCTATTTCCCATGTCAACAGCAGATTTCTGTCTTGTACTATCTGTACCTTGCTAGGGACATTGGGGTTTTATTTTTCAATTTGGATAATCCTACCTCAGAAGAGAAGCAGCATGAATCAGTACACAGTAGCTTACTTTAATGTCATTTGTAGTATAATTGTCTACCATTGGTTAAGCCAGCAAAATTCTTAATTTCTTTTTTATTAAAAAATAATTATGCATATTTGCAAGTAGACTTGATTTATGGAGCACAGACAATAATTATAATTCCCAGTTTGGATTTTCTCTTGTTTCTTTATATTGCTTTCCATCTGCTGCATGAAAATTTTTATTTTAATGAACTTAGTTGCAATCACAGGTACCCACAGCCCCCTTTAAAGATAAAATATCATTTAGTGTTTGTTAAAAGAGTTATAAAAATCCCAAAGCTGCACCTCTTCTAATTGTTCTTTCTTTAAAAAAACGATTGAAGTTCATATTGAAACACCTGTATATCATTCTAGAGTTCCTATCCTGACCATGGACAGGGATCTATTTACCTACTTCTGAGCTGCCTTACATAATAAGTAATTTGTAGAATATATGTAAATTTTCATGCATGATTTAAATTCTGTTTTCCTTTTGTACAGATATGGTTATTATCTTCCTCATACAGCAATTCTTTTATTTTTGAAGTACAATAATCTCCATATGTGGCCATATTCTGAAACTCAAGAATGAAATAATTCAGTAGGAGAAGGCTTATAATTTTCAATTTAATAACAAAATTTTCTCTCTAAACTTTGGTCTCATCATCTCCCTGACCTATGAATCCATAAACAGAATAACAGCCATAGAATATCTCAGGACTTTTGTAAGAGAAGCTAAATGGGAATAAATGTATAATACATATGTACATTTAAAAACCACATTGTCTTTTGAAGCTATAGCAGTTGTTATAAACAATGCTTGCCAAATACATTTACTTCCTAAAGCAACACCTTGTTCTTCCCAGTAACAAAAATAATATTTGCATTTTAGCCACCCATATCTTTTTTATTTCAAGCAACAGAAAATGAAATTCAGAGTCTAGAAAGTTGTGTTCAACTTTAACAGTGAAAGGAAAAATAAAAAGTACGAGGATACAAGAAGTAATAAATGTTTATCAAACTTCTAGTATGTGCAAATTGCTCTTCTAGGTCCTTTACATATATTAATCATCTATTAATTATTTAAGTAATCCACTTAGATAAGGATAAGTTTTGCAAATGACATTGGACATAGTTCTAAATCATAAAAAAACTTTTTTTAATTGAAGTATAGTTGGCACACAATATTACATTAGTTTCAGATGTACAACGTAACTATTCGAAAACTCTAAACATTATGCTATGCTCAAGTGTAGCTACCATCTGTCACCATACATCGCTATTACAATACCATTGACTATATTCCCTATCTGTACCTTTCATCCCCATTACATTCATTTCATAACTGCAAGCCTATACTTCCCACTCCCCATCTCCACACCCTCTCCCCTATGGCATCCACCAATTTGTTCTCTGTATTTGTGGATCTGTTTCTTTTTAGTTTTTTTTTTTAATTAAAAATAAATTGTCTAGATTTTTCTTCATTGCTTCTGAAAAGAGGATTAACAACTAATTCCTTGATTATTCTGCAAAATATTTGTGAAGTCCATAAATCTTTTGGTGTATGCATATAGTAGAGTGGCTATAGCAATAATTATAATAATTGACATATTAAAAGTACATTGGAAATTATACAGTAAAGTACATCTCTTATGTAATCATATTCATTTCTAACAATACCCTTTCAGGATATTTTTAAGACATTAAGTTAAGACTAGATGAGTATTAATTTTCTGCTTTGCATATGAGGAAACTGTAGCTCAGGGGAAGTTAAAGGAATTGCCTAAGGCCCCTGCAGGAAGTACAGACACAGGCCTGTCTGATCCCATGTCTCTGTGCTCTGCATCATGCTGCAACTCAGCCTACCACGCCATAGGAGTGAATCATGGTTCTTTGGCATAAATTTTGCATCCATGGAGTTGAAAACCTCTTTAATTTAGTGGAGTATTTCCACTCAATTGAAGAAAGCAGTATAACATGTGTGAAAAGAGCCCCGAACCTGCAGTCCCCTAAGCAGCCATGAAACCTCACTAGGTTGCTCATCTGGAAAATAAACAGTTTTGATACATGATATCTAAGGACTTCTGACTTATGTGACTATGTGTGATCAGCACATAGAAGCCTTCATATAATTCTTCAGTAGATTCCACTGTATTATTTCTGACTTTTTTCTTACTGTCTCTTTGGCTACTAATAATAAAGCCAAATAAAGAGGGAATTAAAGCTGGAGAGATATCCAAGCTGGTGGTGAAGGTCAAATAAGAGTCTCCAAAGTGTACAAACATATAAAACAGTTTGGGGTATTGAGGGAACACTAAGCTTTCAATATTGCTAAAATGTAAAGTGTAAATAAGTCCTGAGAGTGAAGAAAAGAGAGAAGATACCAACTACATTTACCTCCCCTGACTAGAGGCTTCCCCTTGCAGTGGTCCAAGGTGGAAAGGGGACAAGTCTCAACTTTAAATCAAGATTGGGGTTTTTTATTATTACATGGGATGAACATTC